AAGTCACAAATGAATTAGTGTTAAACTGTATGCAAGCAATGCATCACTGATTTTGTGGCACTTTTTTCAATCATTAAAATGAATACAAAAGAGAGGGTTCAACACATCGGAGAAGAGATTTTCGGAGAAAAGAAAAAAGAAGAAAATTTTTTCCAATTTATTACAAAACTATACCAACCCTTACATACAGACTGTGTGTATGTAAACGATACTGTGTTTAGTGAAGGATTTATAAGACTTATATAACTCACAAACACTGATATATGACAAACGCATATTCAATATACAAACTAATAAAATGCAAATCAATGCCCATTAGAGTGCAAAACAAAATAATAATAACAATGTTATGCATTGTTAAATAGGCGGCAAAAAGGCTTCATTTTATTTCGTTTAAAATACAATTTAGTTTTTATTTTGATTAATTTTTTGTCTAGGATAAGGGCTTTAAAACAAGTGAATCCAATAGATATACTATAACTTTACAACTTTAAATGTTTATTAACTATTTTTTATCAAAATAAAACTACACAATTTAATGTTGCAAATATTTGTTCACGATGTCATTTTTGCACTTTTTGTGCTGTATAAATAAAAATGTAAACTACTGTATTCAATTTTTTGTGTTAACAGTAACGAGTATTTCTTAAGAATAGAAATTAATTTATTGACAAATAAACTAATTTCACAAGAAATATCAATCCATTAATAAACTATAAATATAATACTAGGTATGCAATATTATATTACCAATATAAATATCAATTATCATTAATAACAGTACAGTAAATATTTTCGAAATATTTTTTGTGGAAAAAGATTTTATGTAAATAACGCATAAAATATTGCTTATAAGAGCTAAAAAATTATTAAAGTATCGTATATTGTCTCTAAAAGTCGCATATTTGGATACTTTAGACATAATTTTGCATAAATTTTGCAAAGATATAGGATCGTCTTTTTGAAACATTTGAATTAGTCTACACCCCAGAGAGACCCCCTCATACTCTGACAGTCATATCCTGCACATACGGCACAGGCATATAAGCGCAAGATGTGAGTAACTGGAACTCAGGTACTGTCACTCATTTTGCAATTGTCTCCACACTGTATCACACTATATATACCTCACTCTCATTCCCATTGCTGTTGTCATGAACAACGGTATTGACTAGAATTCAAACTTATAATTCACTAGTTTTTTGGATACACTTCTCATTGCATTTGCATCACTATCTCCAACACATATGCAGTGCACCGACAGTGCAGTGGTTGTGTCACACAAACACAAATGAGACAAAACTTATACCTATTTTATTAATTATTAGTTTTCTCAAGTAATCGTTCATCACTTGTGTGTAATGATTATCTACTGACTGAAAGTGATAATAACATATTAATTCATACGTAAAAGTGATATTAAATTAGTGTACATATTTGTGATCTAGCTGAAATTTTCACTGGAAATTCTTTGTAATAAAAGTTTGTTTTCTCGAAATACTCACTCATTCTACACTTGATATGATATATATTTTGCACACACATTGGTATCGCGTGTTATAATTCATATGAATAGTGTGTATGTATTGATAACATAAAAGTCAGACATAAGAGCGAAATGAAAAGTAATAAAAAGTTATACAACAAGTTATTGATCTCAACGTTATATTCACTGATAATACACACAATTATTTCTGTGCTATCTATTACTCTCTTCAAGTAATTTCTATTGAATTTCATAATAATAATAATCCATAAAAAGATATATATTTTAACGCATTTTTTCCAATTGAATACCATTTATTAACATTACTTTTTTCTTATGTATGATTTGTTTGCAATTGTTTTGATTGAATTGGATATTAGTTTTTCCATTTCATCACATGATTATTCTTTATAACATGTATTGTATCTCATTATCAATACATACATTATACACAAATAAGACTTACATTTGATATTTAGAGCTGAAGTATTGAATGGCTATAAATAAATAAAGTGAAAATAATAATCGACTGGAAAAAACTCTACAAATAATTACTTTTTTAAATTATAGGAAACTATTGTTCCAATTATTACAACATTGTAAGTGTGAGTCATATATAAATTTATCTTGAGACTTATTTTTTCTAAGTATATATTTATTTTTCGATTTTTATTAATTGATGTTATTTTTAACTATTATAAAAGGGACTGTAGTTTTCATTTTAAAACTATAATCAATTTTAGTGACAATTCTAGGTACAGTATTACCACAATATGTACTTATATCTTATTATCTAGTAATAATAAGTTATTACTGAATATCCTTAGCATTTTTGTGCATATATTATTTTATGTTATTACGAGTGAATTAAGCAAATTCTTATTGCATTTTATTTTGAAACTATTTTTGATTATTAGCTTTATTAGGAAATATATCATTTGAGATAATTGATGGTCGATTGATTAAAACACACATGTACTAACTTATGTACTCTACTTTAGAGTACAGTGTGTTTAATTGTCTTTAAAATTAAGTTAACATTTGCAATAATTATTTTTATATATTGTATTATAAAATCAATTTAATTATACTAAAAAATTCTTTATAAATGTTTATCAAATTATAGTAACTGCTAATTTATAAACTACAATATTCATGATAACGTGTTGCATCTATAACGGACACGTTATTGTAATTTTATTTAGACTTTCAATAATAGATATTTTGTTAAAATAATAAGCGATAATATATTTGAAAACAAAGTAATTTATAAGTTAAAAAGTTTTATTTGAATTTATATTTATATGACAGAATTTCAGTGTAAAAATTAATGCAACATACTTTGCATGTAATCTAAATACAGTTTTTTTTATCAGATGCATAACACTGTTATTTATTAGATAACTTCATTTTGATGACTACTTTATTTTGAAAATAATTGTATAGCAAATTTTATACGTTGACCGTAATATAAGCATATTTAATGGATATTATTTACTTAAATATTGAGCAAATTATTTAGTTTTAGCAAAACACTGTCTATTTCATTGGTCATACAAATAGTAGTCAAACTGAATAATAGTCGACCAAATAATTTATTAGCCTTGTGTGGGCTAATGTTTACTATAATATTATAGTAGATTGTTTTGGACTTATATGTGACATATATGTTGTCTCATCTCTCCCTTTCTCGCCATCAATAGTCCGAAGAATATTCTGTTACAGTATTCATAGAATATATAAACATATTTAGACAGTAGTCACGCATTTGGAGAGGCATACCATACGGATAGTCATCATATTATAGTAACCATTATTTTATAAACATATTGAGTAAATGACAAAACAATATAAACACACATTTTCAGCGACCAATTCTGCACTCAAAACCTATTCCTTGAAAGATTGTCTCGAAAACAAAAATAGGATTACAGATGAGTAGGTCTTTCCAAATATATGAAAACGCTTGTGTGTTGTGAAACTTTTTTCTTTCTGTTTTTATTACATTCAATAATACGTGAATTGATTTGATTTCCGTACTTAACAATTGTATTCATATATAAAAGGCGCATAAAAGTCAATCGTGTATTATATGCTGCGAGACATGCCAGGGCTGACTACCAGTGCTATTAAAAGTAACCCAAGAGTCCAAGAGTTTTGAGAAACTATGGCTTTGAGTACCACTTTGTGTATATTATTGCCTCCAATATCTGTGAGGCACTGGTATTGAATTTATACACAATATAGCTATAAATGTAAAAGGCCGACCGTTTTATAAGCAATGGTATTATCATTTGCCAGTATTGGGACCAATATGTGCTGACCTTTTCTCAAATTCAATTTTGTCATTCAATTTAGTGTATGGCACTAAAGCTGTCCTTGTTTATATTGCCATTTATTTTTCTTAATAATATCATTTCCTGATCAGATAAAAGGATAGCATTTTTTATATGTTATTAAGTTTTTCGTATATTCTTTAAGAGATTCATTAATATCAAGACAAAAAATAAATTATATAAAATATAACAAAAATTATAATTTTTATAACTATAAAAAATTAATAAAAGCAAATAATTTAGGGGAAATTGTATGCATGTTAACAAATTGATACATGAATTTATTGAAATGACTGAACATTAATGTGTGTTTATGTTGACCACCAGATGGGCAACTGTCAGAAGTCTCGGGCCCTGTCCAACCGGCACCTACTGATCAGCCGTTACCACTCATTCTGTGAGCTCAATATGAGTCGTAAGAATAAGCTGCGGATCAATGACTTCAACGACGACACACTGATCATCATATTCTCGATGTTGACGCTGAAGGAGAAGTTATGTGTCCTCCGGGTCTGCAAACGGTGGCAGCGGTTAGTGAAAGTAGTGCTCCAGAAGTGTGTGTCCATCAAAATGGGCGAACACTCTGTCAAATGTCACTGTCATTGCTATAATTACGTGAACTGGGACTTCCCGCCACACAAGTCATTCAGCCGGGATGACTGCGGTTACGTCATATACCCCAACCCACTGCTCAATTACCTCATGAAACTCTGCCCTAATCTCAAATGCATTAACCTTTCGCACTGTTATCTCGATAATAACGCCCTAAAAGTAAGTGGACTTTGTTTTAGTACTTTAATCGCTTTCAAACACTTTTTATAAATTTATTATATATGCTTACATTTTTTTATAAATATTTTTTTTCTCGTTATTAATATCTAACGAGTCACATGTGCTTACAGTGAGATAATTATATGCTATGACCCAGCAACATTTACACATAAAGTTATTATTTGTCTATAAAGTGAACTGAATCTCACTTAAAGAGCACTTTCTAGCAGTGCATCGAAAATATTTACTGTACTGTTATTAATGATAATTGATATTTATATTGGTAATATAATATTGCATACCTAGTATTATATTTATAGTTTATTAATGGATTGATATTTCTTGTGAAATTAGTTTATTTATCAATAAATTAATTTCTATTCTTAAGAAATACTCGTTACTGTTAACACAAAAAATTGAATACAGTAGTTTACATTTTTATTTATACAGGACAAAAAGTGCAAAAATGACATCGTGAACAAATATTTGCAGCATTTAATTGTGTAGTTTTATTTTGATAAAAAAATAGTTAATAAACATTTAAAGTTGTAAAGTTATAGTATATCTATTGGATTCACTTGTTTTAAAACGCTTATCCCAGACAAAAAATTAATCAAAATAAAAACTAAATTGTATTTTAAACGAAATAAAATGAAGCCTTTTTGCCGCCTATTTAACAATGCATATCATTGTTATTATTATTTTGTTTTGCACTCTAATGGGCATTGATTTGCATTTTATTAGTTTGTATATTGAATATGCGTTTGTGATATATCAGTGTTTGTGAGTTATATAAGTCTTATAAATCCTTCACTAAACACAGTATCGTTTACATACACAGAGTCTGTATGTAAGGGTTGGTATAGTTTTGTAATAAATTGGAAAATTTTTTCTTCTTTTTTCTTTTGCTCCGAAAATCTCTTCTCCGATGTGTTGAACCCTCTCTTTTGTATTCATTTTAATGATTGAAAAAAGTGCCACAAAATCAGTGATGCATTGCTTGCATACAGTTTAACACTAATTCATTTGTGACTTGTTTTATATGTTCATCCGATATGTCTGTCCCAACCCTACTATCTATTCGGTTCTCATGTACTGAATTGATTTGCAAACATGTTTTGTATGATTGCAGATATATGTGACAAAATGAATGAATGAATGCTAATATGAATGAATATTAACACATACCTACTGGAAATATAGACATACCAATGACGTTAACATTATTTAAAATTATTTTATAAAAGAATTTAAATTAAATCCGAGAATTTAGTTGTAGGCAATTTTAACTTTTAAATTTTCTAAATGTTATTCAATTTAGCATTTATATACGTACCGACATAGTACAAAACACTTATAATCTAATTATTTGTACAGTGATACTATTCAGTATATTCATATAAGTAATTATCACAAATATAAAATGTTTTATTATAACATAAATAGATAAAATAGATTGAAAATCATAAAACTATCGTATGTTTTAATTGAAATTGAAACTAGAGACAATTATTACTAAATTAATACATTGCAAACTATAAATAGATTATTTAATTAATATAATTTCCTAGCTTATTAATTGCTGATTTGCAAGCAAAATCTTTAACATATAAATGTATATTTTTTTCAAATGCAATTAATGTTGATTGAAATAGAAAATAAAAAAGTTTTACTAATAACTTGTATATAAATTGTTATATAAAAATACATGTTTAGAGCACCGGTACGACATGATAGGTTCAGTTCATATGGAAAAGTTCAACAATACTATTGGGAAAAATAAAATAAAGATTAACAAACAAAAAAGTTTTCATCAAATGTTTTGTTATTATTTTATATGATTAATATAAGCTTTTAATTGTTTTCGGACTAAAATGGTGCACTTAAATTCATTGCACATGATATGTATATAAAGCGCGTATAAATAAATAAATATAATTTTTTGAAGTACTTTATAATACTTGAGACTATAGTAGAGAAAAGCACTCCAACTTTAATGCTATTAAATGGAGAAAATAATACTTTCATAATTAATAAAGCAAATGACCCCGATTTTTATTATTAAATTATGATTATTTAATAAAGTTTACCACCATCTACGGTTAAATTGTAGTGTTAGCAAAATGTTCAATTATGAAGGTGATTATATTTATAATTATTCCCATTACATTTAAGCATGACATTATAATACATGTCTTATCTATTCTCTTATTTATTAACTAATCGTTAGTTACTAATGGCTAAGTTTTATCATAAAATTTAAATGCTTTTTAAGTTATGGTTACTTTTATTCACATATAACATTTTTAAAAGTACCTATGAAGTTATATTAAACTTTTAATCTAAAATATCTCACTATATTTGTGATATACAAATAAATAATATTTCTATAATTCAGAATCGTTTAATACTGTTTATATTGTCATGTAATCTTTTATTTAAGTTATATAATTATTATTTACTATGAAATAGTCCATTCATTATAAATGTTAACACATGGCTGTTTATAATGTACATCATATTTACAATGAACATGAATTGTGAAAGAAACAAAATATAGTCGCGTACTCTCTCTCTCACTCACTCACTCACTCACACTCACACTCACACACACACACACACACATACACACACACACAATAGAGTAAACTGCTATATTATTATATAACTTTTATATTTGTGACGGGTTTTATGAATAAATTATAATACTTGTTTGTATTTATATTTTGGAAAACCAATATTTGAGTTTATGTGTGCTTTCATAAAACATATTGATATAAAAATATCTTTTCAATATATTAATAATAAATTACTTCTCGTTATTAATATAGTCCTATCGATAGAAACAACAAAAATAATAACTTATAAAAAGCGAATATTTGACTCTAAAAAGCAATATTTTATTATTATTTCAGCAAAACAAAAATTGTTGTCTATATTGTTATATACAATATAAAAAGCTTTTAAAATAAATTAAATTATATCAATATCTATATTACCGGTGAGTCTATGTTTTAATACGAAATGATAAAAACAATGGCATTTAAAGGAGTAATTGATTGATATGTTATAAAATGTTATATTTCCAGAATAATACAAAGAATTTATTCAATTCATTGGGAAGTAATTTACTATATTTTTAATTCCATGGATTTTGGTGCTAATACTTATTTAACATTTATATTAAAAATCAATCCTCTAATTAGTTGTATGAATAAAATTACTACCAAGTTATTATTACATTTAAATATATAATAGCATTAAGATAACCATTAAAATGTACTGGATTATCGTTCAAATAATGAAGCTTTAAACATATATTGGATCATTATAGTTTATATTGCTCAAGACATTTCTAGACATTTTGAAAGGTTAATGTAAAAGTTATTGTATTCTTATTATTATGAATACAACATTATATTTACAATTCATTATTCATTGAGTTATAAAACACTAGACATTATATATCATGAAAATGATAGAAATTGTAATAAATGACTGCATCGGACATTAGACTCAATGACACACTATTGGCAACAATTGAAATGAGTTTCTTTGGTATTCATTGTAATACATATGTACCGGTATATTACTTGATCATTATATTATATATTCTATACAATTCCGTGAACACTGTATTGTAAGAAAACTATACCCTAGTATTAGAGGCAAAAAAGTGTTAAATTGTTATTAAAACACCATTATTTTTGTCAATTTCTGAATACTCGCGATAGAAAATGTTTATCTAATAATATACTGTGAGAACAAAAATACAATAATTAACTCAATTATACGTTAGTTTATGTGTGAAAAACATGGTTTATTTTTTGCTTACAATATAATATTGTGAAAGTAGAGTTGCAAAATAAAAAACATATTAAGAGGACGGAAAATGTACTTAATTTATGACAAAACAGATATTTATAAACAGGTATAGTTAGAAAGATAGAGTATTTTGTGACATATTTATGATAATATAAATTGTATACCTGTATAACTTTCGGTTTACAAACATTAAACAGTTTTAAAATTTAAATTAGATATAAGTGTATATTTGTTGTAAACATTTATATCGAGAAATATATACTGAAAAGATTTATTTTAAGGGCGTTATGGAAATCACAAAAAATTGATTTATTTAAAGAAAGCAACATTTAGTTATTTTCATTTTAATAACAATAATCACATTGCATTCAATCCTGGTTATAAATAATCTATTAAGTTTTTTAAATATATTAGATTAACATCTACATAACATAATATTTACAAAATAGTATTTGTTAAATATAGTATTTTAACAAATACTGTATAAATATAAATAAATCTATAATTGATTGAATTTAAAAAGTCTATATTGTATTCATTAAACTCAATTAGTTCTCAAAAAGTTTATATTTTTATAGAACAAGGCTTTTAACCATTGCTATTGTCATTTAACCAGGACAATTGATATTTGAACATTATTTTCAACATTATATAGCTGTAATATTATGTACACGATTAGAATAGAGTACATGTATTCCTATAGTAACGGTTCGAATAGAGCATGGAGAAATAAATGTTAAGATTATATAATGAAAAAAAGTTGTTTGTTCTCATTGTTTGCATTATTAGAAATTAATGTCATAGCAATTGATTCCCATATTGTGTATAGAAAATATATTTGAAAACAAGTTGCACATAAAATTATATTAAATATAATAGAGAATATTCTTGCGGAATTGTGCAATATTATAGAATTAAATAGTTTGTGTTTAATTATTTATTTATTATTTAAACTAAATATTTATTTATAATAGTTTAATACATTTATATAATAATAATCCTATAACAAATGAATATTGAAAAATGTTTTCTAATAGTGTGTGTTTTGAATTAATTAGTTTTCCATAAATTTCAAACAAAAATGCTTTAATAATATTGAATTAATTATTGATTGAACAATAAAACAAAGTCTATCTTAATGTATAATTATTATAAAATTATTTATTGATTAGTTTGCAATACAATTGATTTTCTTATGTAATAATGTAGTCATTATAACAGAAAAACAATAAACAATTTATAATACTTACATGTCTATGTCATAAATTAAAATGATCTGGTTTAATTGTTTAACATGAACTATAAATAAAAGCAGCTTTTGAAATAAAATTTTGATTTTTGTTAAATAATAGCTAATAATAATAGTGACAAATGGTTTGATAAGTACTTCCCCGCTGTCTAT